TTACGAGGATGGGGAAAACAAAAGTAGTTCCTATCTCAAGGAGCTTACAATCCAGCAGAAGGGATGAAAGAACATATTCTGCTTTTAAGAGAGGTTCGAGGTAGTGTGCAGGTTCTCAACTGGAGAAGATTGCCTCTTGTATCCCTATTTTGTTTCAACATAACACACATAGATACAGTATTATTCTAAAGCTGGTGATGCTCCTGAAAGGAGCATTAAAATGTCAGCAGACTGGTAACATTTCACAAATGAAGAATGATGCCAAAAATCTCAAATAAGGGGGGGAGGGGGGGGGCGGGGAGAGAATGATGAGCTCTTTGGCACAAAACCTGCTTCTCAATGCTCCACTGAACACTACAAGTCCCTAAAGCTGAACTTCAAGGCATGTGACAGCTGCTGATTGGTTATAGGAATTCACAGGAAAAAAAATGCACCCCTTGGGGTGCGTGACATGCATCTTGTCTGTAGAACATGGCATGAAGGAAACAGTGGCTCCAAGTGGAGAAAAAGGCAAAGAGGATGTATGTGACAGCGTCCTGAAAAGTATAATAGGGAGCCAGACAAATGCCAAGACTCACTCACTACCTGTTATCAGAGCAGAGTGTTGGTGCAGCATCCCTCCCAAAATTAATTGTTCAGTCACTGAACAAGCCATCCGTAAATTACCAATACTTTCCTGCCTTAAAGGTATTTCACCATCAAAAGAGGATGTGAAGTTACCCAGTTCTTTAAAGAAAGGCAGTATAAAAGATAGCTCTTTGGTGAAAATAACATTTAAGTAAATATTAGATGAAAATACCCAACTTGAGTCCCTACTCCACCCAAATATCCCCCAACCAGTTGAAAGCTATTGTGTAGTTCTACACTGTCATTTGTTAGTAAGAAAACTCCGGTCTACTGACCTCTCCTTCATAGCACCACATAATAGTCTTTCTTTGCTATTCTAACTAAACAGGAAGGTTTAACTATGCCAGTCAGCCTATGAAAAACAACAACACATGGGTAAGCAAACACTCAAAAAAAAAAAGAACTGGACAAATAGGATGGGTACTTGATAAAACATAAATGTCCTCCATTCATCTGCAATTCTAGTCATTTTCTCTCTAACAGATCGCAGGTTATTTAAAACTGAGTTATATATAGTCATTTAGCAGCAGCAAAACACTTCTGGCATTATCACACATGCTAGATCTCTGGAGGAATTTTTTCTTCCAAACTAGAATTTTTCTTCACCAAGAACCGATCAGCCTTTATTTCTAAAAACAAAAGCCCTTGCCTTCCCCCCCCCCCAAAAAAAACAAAAAACAAATCAAAGCCCACCGTTGAATTCTGCGCTAATGAAACGGTGTGATTACATCCCAGGCGTTGTCAGAGCCTATTTTTCATACAGCACCACCAGACAGTTTGATGCAGCATTCCTGATTGCTTTTTATCGTATTTGTAAATACACTCACTAATCCACTCAATTGGGTAATTTACAAACAGGTCCTCTCAGTTATTAGTGGCCAGCAGTCAAGTCCTATTACATTTGATCCTCGCACAGTTGTCTAAACATTTCCATCCCCAGGTTAAGGGCTGGGATCCGCAAGGGAGAGGGAGGTTCGCGAAATTTGGATGGGGGCAGGGAAGAAGCGAGGAGAAATCTCTGCATCTCAGCCCTCGGCGACAACAGTCAGCCAGTGCCCACAGAAAAACTAAATTCGGCACCTCTTCCTCCTGTTACACTGGCAACAAAGAGGGAGTTTCCGTAGCGCTCCCGTCACCCCCCAGGTGCCCAAGCCCCTTCCCGGCCCAGTCCCGGGCTGCAGGGGCCTCCGCGTGCAGAGGCCGCGGAGCCCGGGGTCAAGGCACAGAGGGGGGATGGGGTGGGAAGCGAGCGGGTGGGACATGGGCAGCGGGCCCTGGAAGGGCTGCGGGACCCGTTTAAACACCCGAACCCGATCGGGGGGGGCGGCAGGCGGGAGAAAGGGGACCTCTAATTTGCAGAAGCTGGACGAGGGGAAGAGGGGTGAGGAGCCCATGCTGGGGGCACTCCTCCTGGAAGCACAGAAAATAGTGGGTGAATAGGGAGGGGGGGAGGCTCCGCCGAGCTGGGAGGAGAGGGGGCCAGGCCCAGAGGCTAGGGACGGGGGATGCCACCTGGGGCGGAGAGGAAGGCGCCCGTGTGGCTTCTACTTGCGGGCGGGCGGGGACGGGCCGTTCAGGGTAATGGGAGGTAAGGCCAAGTCGGTAAGGGGAGGCGAAGATCTGGGGGCGACCAGTGGACGCCTAAAGGGCCCCCCGTGTGAGGTTGGCGGGGTAACTGCTTGTTGGGTTCTAGGATAAAGGAAGGCAGAGA